AAGATGTACTTAAAAAAAAGCAGAGAAGTTTCAAGTAAAATAGTAAAAAGACAGCTGAGGGGAGAATGACGTACACAAGAATCAACCTTTTCCCGGTGAGATTTAGCCGTTTCAAGTAGTCTCGGATTGATTGGTCTGAGGTTATCGACATAAAAGATTTGTCTTTCTTCAACAAAGAGATAACAGGTATGACTGAGAAAATTCTTATATATATATATTGATAGATTCGATATCCCTCCATACAAACTGGATCAGCGGATCATGCCCCTTTTTGTTAAGTGTTATATCGTCTCTGGACAGCTAACATATCACCACAAAGTTCCTGGAAAGGTTTTCTTAAAAAGACCTTGAAAGAAACCATCAACTGCTTAAGTTAGTGAAAACAAGGTGGCTTTAAACAAATGAAGTTTGGCTCATAAGCATTTAAAGTATTGTACACAAATGAAGACAATTAGAATAATCTAATTACTCCTGTACTTGTTTGCTAAGGTTTTCTTTCTAAAGCAAAACACTTCAAAGTTTTCCAAACATCTCCACCTTTTGTCCCTACTATTATCGAGAAGAGAACATTGACCAACTACCAAAGTAGAGGTTAACTAGGATAAAACAGTACAATCTGGCTCATCTTTAAGACCTAGTGTCACAGCATTGATTTCCATGGCAATTAAATGGCTTCACCATTCCTGCTAACGTCCTTCTTCAACTGTAATTGTCACCTGATTGTTGGAGACGGTGTATTGCTTACTGGAGGAAGCAGATGATTTGCTAGAAGTGAGCTTCCTTAATACAAAAGCTGGTCTATTAGGTTGTTGAAGGTTAATACCTTCCCCTCCCAGCATTAAAATGACATCCAACATGTTAGGACGATCATTTGGATCTTCTTGTACACACAGGAGAGCAATATTTATGCACTTTATTGCTTCACTTCTGTTGCATGATTCGAGTAATGACTTTTCTATTAGTTGTATCTCAGCTTCTTCTGTCCACAATTTCCATGCCTGTGATAATTTTTCTGTCAGAGAATCAAAGCTAGAAGAAGATATAATATTGGGTCATGGGAAGTTTCTTCACTTACATAGCCCAGCAAGTTTAAGGCTTCTTCTGACTGATAAAATCCTGTATTCCTTCTTCCACTGATTATCTCAAGTACGACTACTCCGAAACTGAATACATCTGATTTGATGGAAAACAATCCATCCAGTGCATATTCAGGAGACATATAGCCACTAGATTTCACCAGGTGAACAAAACATTTTAGTGTAAGATTTTATCTGAAGCTCCTTTTGTAAGAAATTAATGATAGGAAGGAATATTATACTTACTAGGTCCCCACTACTTTCTTTGTATTTGCTTCTGTTACTTTTCCTTCAACAATCCTTGCCAAGCCAAAATCTGAAATTTTCGGGTTCATCTCCTCATCTAATAAAATGTTACTTGTTTTTAAATCTCTATGAATGATCCTTAGTCGTGAATCGTGGTGAAGATAAGATAGACCCCGTGCAATGCCCAATATAATGTCATAACGCTTCTTCCAATCCAATAATTGACAAAGTGTTCCATCTTGCATTGTTACCATGACAAGGATTGGTATGTCAATAAAATTAGATCGTTATAAGAAACATATGACTTTGAAAATAGAGAACTTAATAAGGCTAACTCACCAAATATGAATGTATCTAAACTTTTATTTGGCATATATTCATAGAGTAATATTTGTTCCGTCGCGTTGATGCAATAACCCAATAGCCTCACCAGATTTCGATGTTGAAGCTTTGCAATTAGAGTCACTTCATTCTTAAATTCATCTATGCCTTGTCCTGAATGACTAGATAACGTTTTTACTGCAATTTCTTTTTCGCCTGGAAAGATACCCTGCCAAATTCTTTAAATCTCATTACTATAGGTCAATGCGGCCATACCAGTCCATAGAGATGTAGGAATGAAGTTTTAACCTTGTAAACAGGACCAAATCCTCCTCGTCCGAGCTTATTTGCATTTGAGAAGTTGTCTGTAGCTGCCAAAATGGTCTCCAAGTGAAAGTATGGGACATCAATAGCTTCGTCACTATTTTCATTCATCAATACTTTCGCTTCTCCTTCAACTTTGTGCCAGTGAGATGTATGTGCCCCTTGAGTACCTTTTCTTCTATCTGAAGTAGAAAAAGGGGTGGAGGAGAAGAAGCACAAAAATGATCTCATTACCTCAATTGGACTGAGAATGACCTTTGGAATAAAGTCCAAAATGGTATCATAGGAAATATGTTCCAGAGTTAGATTCATTCAGCAAATACCTGTCCTTTTTGTCGTTCTTCTTCTATAGTAAATGTAGCAAAAGAAGGCTATGACTAGAAACATCAAAGCTGTTATGGACGATAGGATAGCTTTTATCTTCATCGATTTCTTACCCTTAGTTTGAGCTGAAAGTAGAGAGCCAAAAATAAAATCAGATATATTTAACATCTATCTTGAAGGACTTGATGCAAATATTCACATGGACCTCGGAGCCTATCGTTAATATTTTTGAAGAATTATTTCAAGTTTACTTTTCTCAACTAACACCTCAATACGGGAAAAGGAAAAGAAGAATCATTGTTGGTAAGTGCTAACACTAACGTTATTATGGAATGTTATCCACAACTAGTGCTTTTTACTATTATGAAATAAAGAATAGAGCTAAGTTATACTATGCTATTCTAACCTTCAGGTGAGTCACGTTTGACAAATATAGTCCTTTCTCTTCCATTTTTGCTAAGTTTTTGCAGATTGAACAGATCCCCTGTCCAAATTGAACAGGTACCGGAACCATCATAAGTATAAGCAGTGCAAAAGCAATTGTTGAAACATGCAGATCTACACTGTGAGGCTTCCCCAACAGTGATATTAGTATCTTGAGAAGCAGGTAATGTCATAATTGAATTCATCCAAAAACTATCCTTGTCTTTAGAAATTGTGTCACATTGCTGCTTTCCTTCTCTTACACAGCCACCAGAGTAATCATTTGCATTCCATTCTCTATCTGATCTTGGCTTGAAACTGCTCAAACAACTGCAGGATGCATTAGCGTTATCACAAACTCCAAATGCCCCACATTTAGCATAAACCTCACAATTCTCTCTTGGTTGAGACCAGAATAGATTCCAATCAATTATACCATTCATCCATGTTTGTTGCATAATTCGTCCCGAGACATCCATGATCAATCTTGATGTGATTGCACTACTATTGTAAAGCGAATATGTAAAATATGACTCATTCTCGTTATCGATATAGCTGTAATTAAATATGTAATTTAACCTCATCTCAGGCACTGAGCTGAATATACGGCCATTCCATGAACCACTTGCCCAATACTCTTTAGTCCTATTCCATTTTAAAAGAATCTGAGCATGCTCTGGGTCCATTTCCAGAGAATACAATCCTGGTGCCGGATCATTCAAATTCTTCCATGAAAACAGAACCTGTTTTCTTTTTGTACGTTTGTCATATCCAAGCTTAGCACCAGGAAGAAAAGTGTGTGTTGGGTAGTCAAAACTTTGCCAAAGTATCAAGGGCGTTGATGAATTTGATATATCATGCAAAATCAAATTGCCATCATCACGAAGAACAGCAGTTACTGAAATATTTCGATTGATGTTTCCAGCAAGTGCTGACCAAATTGAGTTTTCAAGTTTATCGAGAAGCACGAGGTTTCCTTGAATAATTATCAAGTTAGCATCAGCATCATCAAGTGGTTTATCCCTATTTGCTATCCAAACTACTGTTTGCGGATAAAAATCCTTGTACCATATGCCTATGTAATATTTAAAAGAGCTACCTGGTTTGAAGAAACCAAGCTCAAATTTCCCACCAGAAGAGATAATTGTTTGGCCTGAAGTAACAGATTCATTCGCAGAAATGGTGTCCCCTCCGAGGGAAAGATTGCTGCTGAGGCTAAAGCATAAAAATTGCACAACAACTATCAGAATCGAATAGTTGTTCTTCATTTCCATGGCTGCACAATTCGTTGGGTAGAAATGAATGAATGGTATTAAAAGAAAAGATAGCTAGATTCCTTGGTAGAGCTCTTAATGAAAGGAGACTATTCGGAGTCAATGAACCCAGTCAAGCAAATCATCTTCCATCTAAAATTCAAACTTTAATATGCTAGTACTTAATAGTCTTCCAACTGTCGATGTCAACCTTCTAATATTGAAGACAAATTATCCATCTACACGTGACATATTGAATATTCTGAATATTAGCTGAAGGACCAATGAGCGTTTGTGGTTCAACGGTTAGGATGATTGTCTTCCAAACAATGGACTTGGGTTCGACTTTCGGCAGATGTATTTTTAAATCTCCTCGTGTTTTTTTTGGAGTAGGCACTTTCGCCCGGCAGCAGGTGGGCAACGTACTTATCTTGTGTGTAGACCTGGGCGTCGAGGCTAGCTTTTCATAGTGTCAAGCCGAGCTCGAGTCGGCTACTTAATATTTAGTTCTATGTAGTGTTATGTTATTAGATAATTTAATTTATGATAAATAGTTGATTTGAAAAATATAAATATTACTGATTTAAATTGATCATTGCATTTAAATTTAATTGAAATTATAT